AAACGAGGACGACCCTTGACAAGGTGAACTGACACAGCGGCTGCAACGATGGGCCCAGCACTGGAGCAATTGTGAGGATGGCGCAGGGCTGGGCAGGGCTTCCTTCTGTTGCCCACAGGCTCCTAGGAGTTGGAACCAACTCACTGGTGGTACCACCACCACCACCACCACACAACCAAACGTACTCTTCCCAAGAGATAAAGGAAAAGAAAAGAAAAACCACAGTAATCAGCTCTTAAGAACCTATTTCTTAATTCTCCTGGATTTTCATCTTTCTTCTTGCCTTTCCTTTCCAAGGCAATTAAAATCGTTCCTGTGCTATGCGGGCCTGACTAAGCCCCTCGCCTGGTGGGTCCTAGGAGAAAGCCCACCGTCTGCTGGGCAAGTGGCTCAGTGTGCTAAGCAGGACGTTAACCTGGCAGAGCCTCCAATGCCACATGGGGGGCTGGGGTGGGGTAGGGGCTCCAATTCCGCATCAGGACAGAAGAAAACTGACGAGCAGATTATCATCCAAATCTGAAAATTCGCAAAGAATTGATCACTATGATTAGTACCTACTCAAAGACACCTAACATTAGTACGTTCACGTCAAACACTGAATTAAAACTCTCCTAGTAGAGATGACAGTGCATTTGAGTTTCATCAAACCTCACTTAAAACAAAACAAAAAAACCCCTCACTGAAGTGACTGTCAGGTGTGAGTTTTTGGGTGTTAAAATAGATCTGTAAGGTGATGCATAATGGAATTATGCATCCAATCCCCAGAGACAATGATGGGATTCATAAAGATGCTGACAGTAAAAGGCAGTAGTAATGAAAACAGGGGTGGGGAATGAGGTATTGAAGTTACGTCAGAACCTACTAACAATGGAGTCACTGAAAGAAAGGGACCCCCGCCATAAGTCTGGGACTCAGGCCCCAGAAGCTCTTATTCAACAGCTTATCACAAATGATACGTTCTTATTAAATCAGTGCCTACTCTTAGGGCCACCTATGCTCCTTGCTTTACAAGTTCAGCGAATAGTCATTTCTAACCACTGTAACTGATCAAAAACAGAGCTCACAATTCACATTCAAGTCTGGCAGAAGGCTGCCCATTTCAGTCGCTCTGTCTTTGGCTCTCTATCATATGGGGCCGCTCCTCCTCACACTGCACATGAATGGAACTCAGGTCTAACTTAAAACAATGCTGTAGACTGACGATGGACAGAAAAAACTGTTTATGATATCATTTTTATAAAAATTAAAAAAAAAGACTGCAAAATATGATGAGCAATATCACTCCCATATTGGTTTTTAAAAAAAAAACAAATATACCCACCTACAAGTGTATCTGAGAAGATACATTCTAAGTTATTTATAAGCTTATAGTTTTTCTCTTAAAAGGTTCTCTGCACACTAAAACAGCTTCTGAAATGAGAACGCCAACAGTCGTTTCATTTAGCAAGAGAGATCCCTAGGGAAACTTCAGCACCAGCAGTCACTTCACTCTTCTCGTCCCTTGCCTGAGGCGATGCTGGGGTGGGCCAGGTGCCACCAGGACAGCCCCAGAGCTCTCCTTCCTGTCTGCTCAGCTCCCTGAGTCATCAGCTGCCCACTTACCTGCTTTCCCAGTTTGTAAATCTCTCAGAGAGTTCACAAGGCATGGCCAAGGGTTCTAAATTTCAATTTGGGATTTGAACATTCACATTTGTTGATTTAGGGCAACCAGTGATGGAAGAGCCCACAGCATTCGTTTGCCAAAGGTCTACTTTTAAAAGCTGGGATTGATGGTCACCCCTCAGTGACATTTGGCCCATGCCAATCCCTTTTGATGACAAAGGGGAAAAGCAGGCTCCTTATGTTTAATAGCGTCAGCCTTGTTCTGTTTAGGGCAGTGTTTCCCAAAGTGGGTGATCTTGTTCCCCTGGTTTGGAGGGCGGTGGGCGGGGGCAGTGGGGCACTGGACTGATGAGGGGCAGGGTCTGCAAAAGCAGATACGTACACTTTATCCTGGATCATGGGCTATAGAATACATGTTTTTTCACAGCCACGGGAGCACCGAGTGATTTTTTTTTCTGAAAAGAGGGTGGTAGGCCAAATAAGTTTGGGACCAATGGTGTAGGGCTTCTGGTGTTTGCCCATAAAAGTGCTTGCTGAGCCTTGATAGACTGACTCTTCAGTGGTAGACTCAAGGCAGAGGATCCTGAGGTCTGAAGATGTCAAAGTGCACCACTGGGAGCAGGGATCATTTGGGCTGCTCGGAGATCTACCAGTGAAATGACCCCCTAAAATGCTTTCCCAGCTAACAAAAGAAGTGCTGGCAAGACACACTTCCAAGACAGTGGGGAAGAGGGCCATCTGAAGGAAAGGAGAGAAGGGACAGGAGAATGGCGCCTTCACATCATCACTGAGATGGTCTTCTCTGAGGGAGCAAACAGGAGGTAACCGACGCCCTGCTTGGAGGCACGTGTTGTCTCAATGCTACTACGCACAAGCATTTCCAAGGCTGTGCTAGAGAAAAAAGACCCAACCTTCGTGTTGACAGGAACTATTTGTTTTCTAACCCTCTCCCATCCTTATTTTGAGGGGAGCCACAATTTAGAGATCGTCATGCTTTTACAAAACATTTTTCAAGACACATGACAGCCAAGAAGAATCTCGTCTACCCAGCAGTATTTTAATCAAGAAAACAAAACCGCCAACTATAAGGATATGAAAAATGTGACCGCTGCAGGCTTATTCTTGGGTTGGGCCGCTCCCCTTCCCTAATTGCCCCTCAAAGGAAATGTCCAAGGCACTGTGGGCACGCCGGGAAAGCATGCCTAATTACAACATGAGCGCTGAGGGAACCAAGAAGTGAATATTCTGGAACTCTGGCCATAGTTCAGGAGACTTGCCACTTGAATTCACTGAAGAGGAGATGGTGGGAATTGTTACACTTCAATCAAAACACCACCGGCAAAGAAAAAAAAAAAGGCAGACACAAAAAGAAACCAAACACATTACTTAACTCATGACAGGGAAGCCTGCAAACATTTATGATGACCCAGACTCCTTATCAAGTGTTACCTAACAGAGGAAGTGGCTTTGAGTTTAAAATTAGGACCTAAAAATAAGACTCATTTCAATGTCACTCTCCCCCAGAGAACACACATCTTAACATGTAAAGATACCTACGCAAAGGCTTTAGGAGCCTCCCCTGTGCAAGGCCTTTCACGTGAAGTCTTCCGCTTTACTACGATGGGAAAACAGCCAGCGGCCTTGAATTCGGTAATGCTGTCTGCACATTACTGATTAAACCCCTGCCCAAATCAAAAATGAGAACGCATGTAATTAGGTGTCTGAGTTTTAAGCTTAACGTACAAAGTCTGACCCTCACTGACTGTCCTCATCCACTGGGCTTACACCCAGGGTCTCCTCCAACTTTCCACACTGTCCGTGATCCCATGCCGCCGTCACCCCAGCTGTTCCTTCTACCCGGGCCAGTCTTCCAGCCCATCCTTCAAGCCTGTGCTCAGATGATACCCTTGCAAAGAGGCCTTTTCTTTTCCCATGGTCCCTCTCGCTTCTAATTATACCATATAATTCGCTTATATATCAATTGTTTACAGTTTCTCCTCCCAAGTTATGAGCCAAGAGAGCAGAGACGTTTGTTTTGTTCACGGATATCCACCCCAGGTGTCGAAAACGTTGCTCCACCGCAGACCTCAAAGAATATTTCTGAATGAATGAATGAATGAACTTCCAGGCAGGAAAATTCCATGGGGAAACTGGAGGATAAGGAAGAGTGAGGGATGGGATAGGGGGGAAATGGAAGTAGCAGGGCACAGGTGGTGATCGATCAGAGGGGGCGGCGGCGGACACACCAGGCAGAGGCAGACCCTCGGGTTCTCCCCACAGCAGACGGCGGGAGTGGGTGCGCGTCCCGCAGGTGGTACACACGGCACCCTTAGAAGCAGGTGTCGGGCACTGAAGACCAACGAGGCATGTCACGGCAGAGCAGAACCCCGGCGGCGGGCGCTGGGGAGGCCAACCCGGGCGTCCGGACCACCCACATCCCGCTTCCCGCGAGTCCCAGACCCTCGTTCTCCTCGGCAGTGGGCCGCGCGTCTCCGGCCTGCCCGGCTCCGGCCCCTTGAAGGGGCCGCCGGTGACCGGGGCCTGCGCTCTGGCACCTGCCAGCGGTGCCCAGGGGTCCACGGCCCGGCCCGCGGGGAGGCCCCGCGCTCCCCGGCGG